AAATGAAAAATGAAATTAAAATAATCATGGCCCATCTCCGCTCCTCCAACTCTCCCTCTACCCACCATTACCAGTAATTTAAAATAATTTGGGGGATTTACTTGCTTAACTTAAAGGAGTCACAGCAGGATTTTTGTTTTTCATATTCTTAATAGCATGTTTTTCGTTAGTGCTGTTTATACGTATTTCTTTTTAAAATATATTTCAAAATACTTATCCACCTAGCAAGTGCAACTGCATTAGTAAATATAGAAAAGGGATAGTAGACAAGACACTAGAATTAGCTGAAATTTAGCGAAATTAATTTCAACAATTTTACTTACCTATATTGGCTCGTTTTAACGTCTAACATACTTTGGACATGTTGTGAGGAGAGACCGGTCCTTGGAGAAGGACATCATGCTTGGGAGGGTGGAGGGACAGCGCATGAGGGGAAGGCCCTCTATGAGGTGGATTGATTCAGTGACTGGGATAATCGGGATGGGAGTGTCAGAGACAGTGCGACTAGCACAGGACAGAGTAGAGTTTAGGGCTGTTGTACATAGGGTCACTATGAGTCACAGGTGACTCGACGGCACATAACAACAACAACAACAATATTGGCTCGAGCTTGTGTATTTTAACAAAACTGGTATCTAAGTACAGAACTGTACCTAATTAATGTAAAAGAACTGTACCTAATTAAGGTAAATTTCATTTTTCCATCTATCTTTGTATAGATGGACAATGACCAAGGAGGATATAGAAGGAGAATTGATGCCTTTGAGCTGTGGTGCTGGAGAAGAGTATTGTGAGTACAATGGACTACTAGTAAACAAACTGATTCATCCGGGAAAGGGTTAAACTGGGTGGCTCCATCTAACATACTTTGGACATGCTGTAAGGAGGGACTGGTCCTTGGAGAAGGACATCATGCTTGGTAGGGTGGAGGGACAGCGCAGGAGGGGAAGGCCCTCTATGAGGTGGACTGACTCAGTGACTGGGGTAATCAGGATAGGAATGTCTGAGACAGTGCGATTGGCACAGGACAGAGCAGAGTTTAGGGCTGTTATACATAGGGTCGCTATGAGTCACAAGTGACTTGACAGCACATAACAATAATCATCTTTGTATTATTATTTTTTCATTTTCTTTACAGACACGTAGATGCATGTGTGTGCATCTCTCTCTATAAAGAGACACATATTTTCATTTTCTTTTTCTATTTAAATTTATTTTTAATTTCATCAATTTTAGAAGGAAAAGTACTCTAAGTGTTCATATAAGAGTAAAAGAGGTTCTGTAAGTGGCACAGCTGTCCCAATTGCAGGGCTGGGATTTTTCCACCATAATGCTAAGTTCCAGTTTAAAACATTTCAAGGCAGGTGAGCTCTGGTGGCAAGAAGCTGCACTGCAATCGCAAAGGTCACCAGATGCTTTGCTGGAGAAGGAGGAACCATCTCCTCCTGTACCAGTCAAATCTGATTTGATGGTGCGCACACACACACACAAATAATAAAAATTTAAAAAAGGAATTAAAAAAAACACATTTTGAGGCAGTAAAGATTTCTATTATTTTGGTGCTATGAACAAAAGAAACAAATTATGAACAAAACATGGATTAATTTTTATTTATTTTATTTAAGTAAGATACCCCTAAGTCTACTAGAAGTAAGGGTGAGAAGCTTCACTAGTGTAACTCTATAAAGAAGCGAAGTTTATTTAGTCAAATTCTAAAAGCAAAATACCAAAATCACTCATGGTGATCCTGTAGGTTACAAAGTAAAACTGTTCCATAGTTTTCTTGCCTGTATTATTTACAGAAGAATACCAGAATTTTCTTCCACATGGACACCGAGTAGGACTGAACTACCAACCTCTAAGTTAGCAGCTATTTACAAATAGCTCGTGCTGTCTAGGCTCATTTTAAGAGCATGATAGGTGAGAGAGTTTGTTAACAATGTTTTCAAGAGTCAACAATCCTTTTTTTACAGGCTACTATTTAAGCTGTCTTTAAGTAAAATTCCCATGTAAATAAATGCTGAGCCTCTATTTATAAAATGTGTTTCCCATACATTTTACCAGTCATTTCCTTTAATACTCCTGAGACCAAGTAACGACACGTGCAAACTCTGCTGTAGTTGAGCTATATATCTTACCTTAGAGTGTCCATCTTTGTGATATCAAGATAAGTTCCCACTAATGATATATTTAAGTTTTCCTCTGCATTGTCTCTTACGCTCTTTTTAAATTCTTCTGATGCAAGTGGAAGCATTTAGTTAAAAAAACCAAGCAAAACAGTCTACTCTCAGGGTATTTTAATGTTTAGTTCCCAAGGTAAAAGGTACTTTAAATTTAAATGACTTTTGTATTCTTTAAATTCATGTAACGATTTTTTTTTAAATGTCTCTTCCTACCTACATATAAGAAATGAGTTACTTTTTTCCCGACTCTATTCTTGTGTTCTGTACTGACAATATTGAAATTGCATTCAAATGTAAAAGAATAACTTTTCAAAGGTGACTTGTATACGTGGAACTCACCAGTTCAATAACACAGAAATATTTACTAAAATCTAAACACATTTCAGGTTTATTTCCTTAGCAACCAATGTTGACTGTTTATCAAAATATCAATAGATCAGCTATTAAGTGTTTGCATTGTTCAGCTTTATTTTAAGATGTCTACTTAAATGGTGCAAGGCAGTTGAGAATCTTCCAATAGACTATTCACTTTGATAATTAATCTGGCTCAATTTTCTGGTCCAATACTATTTGCAGAGAATATAAATCTGGGGGGCAACGATCAAGATCAGAAATACCTACCTATATTGGTGAAGATTTGGTTAGGATGCTTTGTGGAATACAAAATTTCACATTTTAATTATGCAATGACTCGCCCCAGTGGAAACTAGAATATGATCTACCATACAGATCAAACTAGTATGAGTTTGTACTCAAATCTCAACCTTCAGTGTCAATGTGAAAACAAAAAAAGACTAAAAACCCTCTCCGTATTTACACATGAACCAAGAATTTATTCATGTTCTTACAAAAATATGTATACAAAAACATCAGTGTAATTACAACTGCACGCTCACCAAAATGATCCCATGCCAACTGTGTCACTGAGAAAGCATTCTCTTACAGTGATCCATTTACAGCTTTATAAAAATATTTGTGTAATTATCAAAACTTACTAAACAATAATCTAAATGTTTACTAACTCAGACCAAAGCACTTTTTGAAAGTTGTGTTTGGACTCATAAGTAGTTCCTTAAACATCAGTTTTTACTAATCCTTAACATTTATTGGCTAAAAGATGTTTGCAATTTGCTTTCTTTCATAGAGACATTTTTAAAAA